AGTTCTAAGACAATCGCAAAAACAGGCGCACTTCCGTATTTTAGAATAAGGTCAATAGCAAGTGCATCTTTGACTACTCTAGATGTGGTCAGAAGTAAATCATTTTAAGGCCTTGGTTATTCTTTAATGTTGCCTAATTGTGATCAGATTGAAGAAAACATTTTATTACCAAGTGGAAATGACTTGATATCACTTAAGAATAATGTCGAAGGTGGCAGGCTTTCACACTCTTCCTGCCAAGCCTAGTTTGTTCTTATTGTAAGAAAACAGAATAAGTAAATGCCAAGCTCTCCATTCAGTCTCTAAGCCACGCCTGAGGACAAAACTCACTCGGGGTCCAGGCTGGGGTCACCAGTGTGTGTAATAGATCTAGAATCAGTCAATACTCTGTGGTCACTGAGGGGGTTGCTTGTACTAAAAACCATCTTACGGAGATCACCTACTGGCGCTGCTCCCTACAGCGTCTACAAAAGCTGATTTACTTTATTCAAATCTCTTCACTTCTTCTGAGTCCAAGAGAACATGTCGTAGTGCTTAAGAAGTCCCTGTGTCTGCATTGTCTGATGTCAGTCTTCAGACACTTGAGTAAGGTCATGTTTAGATACTTGAGCGCATGTAAGTATGTTTACTTCCTAAAAGAAAATGGGATGTTTTTCTTAAGAGCATTGATTGTTTTTGAAACCATTCCAAGATTTCCCCTTCCAAAACAATCCAGTTCTGATGTTAATGTGAGTAATCTCGTACTGAGCATGTTGCTTGTGTCTGTGGCAAACATTGATGGTGTTTAAGGGCCAAACGATCGGGCTTTCACTCAGTACTAGGTGGAGGAATAGAAAAGGCCATCCCATTCTCTCCCGCTTAGAGTGATTGAGGCATTATTGATTTCATTTTCATCAGCTCTGAAGGAGGCAGCCACACTTAAGGGAGATGGGTAATTTTTTGTGACACGTAATAAAAGCCTTGCGAGTCTCCAGCTGTCGATCTCCGGGGGGCCCGAGACTGAAATCACAGTGGACCAACACCGTGTATAGGCAGATCAAACCATGAACACACCATATGAGTGCTATCCCACTGCTGCAACTGTTACTTTGGTGTGCATTAACTCGACATCAACACTCAATAAATACCAGGTAAATGCTAAAATCATCTACAGTATGTCGTTCTCTGATTACATTTACCTCACGGCTATCGTTTATTTTTCAGTCCCAAATAATGAGGGGGCTGTGAGCACTTCAGTGCTTCCATTAGCTGCAGAAATGCGATTCTGCATTGATTTGAGGTTGACTAAACTGTTAGAGGCTGTAAGATGCAAGAAGATATCACACATAATGCATATGCTGAATTACATGTTGGGTGTCTCTATCATTAGGGGTTTGCAGTGCTTCTCAAATGGCAAAATGGCTTCTGATACTTTCAGTTGGGACTTTAGTCACAGTCACTTTTCTAGTGAAACCTATTTTTTTAGAGTTTGTACGGTCAGTGCTTTGTATTACGCAATAGCAATTTGGTATTGTTTGATAATTGTGCCTTCTGCATTGATTAACCCAAGTGGTTATAGTCTTAAAGGGATAGTTCGCCTAAAAACGGTACATTCTGTCATCATTTATTCAGGCATTGCTTGTGTCAAATCTTTATGAGTCTATCTAAGATATATACTTTGTAGAAAGATGTAAACGTAACTACTGACTTCGATAATATTAGTTTTTTCCTACTATGGAATTAAATGGTTTCCAGCTTTCTGGGTGGTTTCGGGTCACTGTGGCAACCCCTGATGCAGGGAATAAGCGAGTGATGAAGCGGTGAAGGAAAGAGAGTGTGTGGTTGGGTTGTAACTGGTCCAAGCTCTATTATGTGTTAACCATCAAGTGTGGACCTCGCTGACCTTGTAGGCTATTTTCATCATGGACTCTGCTTGAAAATTCAGGTCATGCCGTATGAGCTGAACATGTTAGGTTTTAAAATGTTGTGTGATTTTTGTATCAGTTTCTATGAGCTCAAACATATCTCCATCTTTTGGCAGCACAGCAGATCAAACTAAAAGGATAGTCCACCTAACAAATGAAAATTTGCTTACAATTTACTCACCCACGAGTGATTATAAACCTTTATGAGTTTATTTCTTCTGTTAAACACAAAATAAAATATTTGGAAATTTAGCTGAAAACCTAACCTTTCCATAGTATGAAAAACAGCAGGTTTCCAGCTTTCTCCAAAATGTATTATTATGAGTTTAACAAAAGAAATAAAATTACAAAGGTGTGAAACAAATAAGGGGTGAGTAGATTATGACAGCATTTTCATTTTTAAGTGAACTATCCTTTAATACATGACCAAATGACAAACAGCAATAACACATAAGCTACCTACCTGATACAGTGCAACCGAAAAGTATTCATAGTGCTTCACTTTTTCCACATCTTTCCAAAAAAAGGTTTTCTGAAATTGTTGAAAATTTATTTTTATAGCCTCAAGTCATTTTGATTATGATGCCACAAGCTTGGCTTACCTTTGCCCATTTCTCTTTGCAGTTCCTCTCAAGCTCTATCAGGTTGGATGGGAAGCGACAGTGTACAGCCATTTTCAGATCTCTCCTGAGATGTTCAATAGGATTTAGGTCTGGGCTCTGGCTGGGCCACTTAAGAACATTCACTGAGTTGTTGTGAAGTCACCCCATTGATATTTTGGCTTTGTGCTTTGTGTCATTGTCCTGCTGGAAAATGAGCCGTCGCCACAGTCTGAGGTCAAGAGCATTCGGAAGCATGTTTTTATTCAGGATGTCTCTGTACATTGCTGCATTCATCTTTCCCTCTATCATGACTAGTCTTCCAGTTACTGCTACTGAAAAACATCCCCACAGCATGATGCTGACACCACCATGCTTCACTAAAGAGATGGTATTAGCCTGGTGATGAGCGGTGCCTGGTTTTCTCCATAAGTAACGCCTCACATTCACTCCAAAGAGTTCAATTTTAGTCTCATCAGACCAGAGAATTTCGTTTCTTATGGTCTGAGAGTCCTTTAGATGCCTTTTGGCAAATTCCAGGCGGTGAGCAGCTTCCGTCTGGCCACTCTACTACCATGCAGGCCTAATTGGTGGATTGCTGCACAAGTAGTTGTCCTTCGATAAGGTTCTCTTCTCTTCACAGAAGAACACTGGAGCTCAGACAGAGTGATCGTCAGGTTATTGATCACCTCCCTGTCTATCCCCTGATCATTTAGCTTAGATGGTCGGCTAGCTCTAGGAAGAGTCCTGGTGGTTTTAAACATCTTCCACTTATGGATGATGAAGGCCGCTGTGCTCATTGGAACTTTCAGAGCAGCAGAAATTTTTCTGTAACCTTCCCCAGCCTTGTGCCTCGAGACAATCCTGTCTCGGAGGTCTACAGACAATTCCTTAGTCTTCATCCTTGGTTTGTGCTTTGACATGCACTGTCAACCCTGGGACCTTATATAGACAGGGATGTCTTTTCAAATCATGTCCAATCTACTGTTTTACCACAGGTAAACTCTAATTAAGCTGCTGAAACATCTCAAGAATTATCAGTGTAAACAGAATTTACCTGAGCTCAATTTAGAGCTTCACAGCATAAGTGAATACTGATGTACATGTGGTTTTTCAGGTTTTTTATTGTTAGTTCTTTTTTTTTTTACATTGTCATTATGGGGTTTTGTGTGTAGAATTTTGAGGAAATAAATTAATTGAATCCATTTTGGAATAAGGCTGTAACAAAAACATGGAAAAAAGTGAAGACTATAAATACTTTCCGGATGCACTGTATATTAGTATTGTTTGACAATAGTTTGACAATACGTTAATCACATTTTTTTCTCTTTTCTAAACTATGGTTTTAGAAAATGCAAGTATTAAGAAATACACATCAAAGCACATAAGAGCAATATGTCTTATAGCTGAAAAAATGCACATTTCACATAGTGTTGACTAAACGTTTTTTTTTTTTTTTTAATTCATTAAAAGTATGAAATATCAAGTTTGGTCATGTAATTCTAGAAGGAGTACTTTGATGCAATGGCTATTAATGCAGTCTGTTAGGTCCAGTGTTTACTGTAAGCTGAGGAACTCCAGAGAAAAGTTCCTTTGAAAGGGAATCATGCTAATTCATGGAGCTGCAGCATATCTCCCATGCTCACAGCAGTGTGTCTATGTATTTATTAATAGTAGCCCAGTAGCAGCGTGTGTAGCATATACACTCCACTAAGACCAAATACATTAGCATGCTAAATCTATTCTATAAGTTGTTCAGTTGTAATATTCTGTATTTGGACATTTTTGTATGATAATACTAACATTTATAAAGCTAATCAGTGTCCCAGGCAACCAGATTCCAGCATAGTCTCCCATGTCATTCTGCTCCACCTTTATTTATTTGGCAAGTTGTCATTTAATAAGCTGAATTAAAATCAGTGTATTTAGTAATTATGACCGGCTGCCTGTTCATTATACTATACACATCAGTAAATCGCTCTCCCAATCTTTCTTTAGGGTTTTCCTCTTTGTCTTTCATTCTTGCTGCTGCAACATACTGTGAGCGGCAGAACCTCTGCAGCCCCCCTCTTTAAAAATTCAGTCAACCGCTCCATTTCCCTCCTCAGTCCAGAAAGCTGTTCAATTTTGCATTTTACAGTCTCCGAGGCTGAATTTTGGCGAAAACAACAGGGTGTTTTGAGGTCACGGAGTTTGATGGGGATGGCAGAGGAAGTATTTCATATTGACCCGTCCTGATTACCCCATAGCACGAGAGACGGAGACATGAGGGGGAAAAAAAAGCGGGGATGTATGCAGAGCTGTGTGAGCAGCATCTCCAATCAGGCGGCTTAGGAAAAGGATGGAATGGGAAGGGTGGGGGAAGGAAAAACGGAGAGACAGGGAAAGGGTGTGTGTATTTGGGGGGGTGGAGGGGGGGATTTCTCTGTAGGAGAGAGAAAGTGGTAGAGAGAGTGCACAGAAGAGAGGGGAGGGGTGTACGTGTGCCTGCACTACAGTGTGTGTGTGTGTAGTGCTGCAGTAACGAGTGGAGAGGGGGGATGACTGCAGTTTCTCGGGCTGATGGAAGAGCGCGAGCAGGAGACGTTCGCACACCACTGAAACATTAACCCCTAAGTGCCTCGCTGGTGTATGGCCCAGACACTCACTGAGGATTAGCACCGAGGAGATCACTGCAGTCAGGTGTGTGGCTTTTCAACATATTTATTTTTTTTCCTCAAAGGGTGCTGCAGAATTTGGAGGGATTTGGATATGTGGTGGTGGATTGATGCTGGAAAGGCTGTCCGGAGCACTAGATTGTTATGACTTAATCGTGCAGCGAGAGGGAAGCCCGTTTGAGAGTAGCCTCGCTGAATACTAGAGTACTGCAGTGTGATTCATACACTAGTAACACTTCTTTTAGCAGGTTTTTTTGCATTCAGTTGGAAGAATGATGGTCTCTTAAGTGATCTTGGGGATGTTATAAGGTGCTTGATTGGGACTACTGCAGTGGTCCCAAGCTGGAAGCGTTAATCCCAGTTGGTGCATCTCTTTTATCGGTTAGTTTAGTTGAACTTGCATTGCTCACTGATCTTGGGTCAGCTTTTTTTCACACCTCACCGAGGCTGGAGTCACAGACCCATCACAGGAAGCTGGTCCCAGAACGGTATGCAAAGGCAAAGTGAACTGTCAGCGGTTGGGTGGGTATTACCCTGTCCGTGCAAGGGTGCAGGTCGCTTCCTGGAGAGTTTCCAGAGGTCGGTCCCATTGACAGCTGCTATCTTTCCCCGGAGGGGCAATGGGAACGACACCCTCCTCCCCATCACCAAACAGAAGCAAGACAATATGCTGTGCCTCTCTGGTACAGCTGCTGCAAAAGCAGATGACAGGGAGAAACCACTGACAATGAAGTGCTTAGAAGAGCTCTGCAGTACAGCACAGAGAAGGGGAAACTGGATAAATACTGGCGGCTTTGATTTCAATGCACTTTGCCATGGCAAAACACTTCAGAAAAAACTTGGTAATCAATATTATTTCAAAACCCTAAAGTACTTTTCAGATTGGTTCCCCCCATAGTCAAAAATCCAGCAATAGTTTTTCTGATAAATGATCTGGTTTGGTGTTTGCAGTCATAATGGTTTCTGTATAAAATATGCATTGTCTCTGCTACAGAAGATAATGTAATGGTTATGCTAGATGTGTCAACTGGACACTTTGAAATCAAAAGGGAACTTTGTTATGCTTGGGCAGCCCTTGCTCACTCACTTCCCTGGCAAGCATTTTTCTCAGTCTCTTGGGATTCTCCTGCAGAGGACTAGGGATCATAGGAAGGGACAATCTCAAGGACATATGCTGTGTCATCAAGGCTTTAGACTTAAGCTATAGAGTACAGTACAGTGTGGCATTGAACTTGTACAGTAAATATGGAGAAAATGTGATGCATTCAAGCAATTTATGCTTTTGTAGCTTGACTGGTTTTTAATAAATTGATGGTGTTGGGTTATTAAATTGGTCCTTTCAGAATGCCTGTGTTAATTGAGGACTGGCCAACATTTGACAAAAACCAGCATGGTTAGTTTCCTGGTGTTGTTCTGTCATGTTTCTCTTAAGGTATAGGAATTCAAAACAATGCAGTCGAAATTGATAATTTGGGTTCAAGTTGAGCTATAATTTAATTTTAGGTACTAAAAATAAAAATATTTGCACACTGACATTCCAGATTTATCTACAGTAGGTTTGTATTCTTATTCCTTTCTCTAGTGTATAATTTTTTTCATGCAAGTGTGATATATATATATATATATATATATGTGTAATGTGAAAACAGTGTCTGCCCAGTAAGCAGCCAGACAATAATAAGTCTGAGAGAAACCATAACCATTGTCATTTATCATCATGGACAGTTGTTCCCATCTGGTCTCGCATCACAGTTTTGTGTTATGAATTACACTCGATAAGACACAAGCGATGGTCACTACTACAATAGATCATAGCTTTTATTGGCAGGAGAACATTATTTAAAACCTGCCCTGTGGGAGTGTGTTTGAGAGGTCAGTTCAGGCAGAAAAGGGACAAAATAATTATGGAAACTCCAATCTCTTCTTCTTTATGAGAAATGCCTTCTCATTTTCAGGATATAGCTCATTACTTTGGAAACCGTCACTGTTTTGTCTTTAATGACAGTATTTTTTTGTCAGAAACACAGTCAAGAAAATAGTGTTCTGATGAACAAATGTTTTTTTGTATTCTGGCATCGCAATCAGGTTTACTAAAGATATTGTCAGCACAAACATCTCAATTACAGATCCTTGTGTATTTTCAGGCTTGCACAGTGCAAGTAATCTAAAGCAGTTTGATCACTTTAAAACATACCAATAATATTTTTATATTGTGGCTTTATTGGTGTGTGTAGAGCTGCTTTGAAATATATTATACACAGTAGTCAAAATTTGAAATGGATCATGACCTCTAACCAAAGAAGTCCTAAAACTATTGAACAACAATCATTCTTGTCCTAGTTGAATTTTGAACAATATGTTTGATTCCCTTTGAATGTTGACTACTGTATATTAGTACATCCTACTCCCATAACAGAGACACCAGTGGGTTGTTTCTCTTAGAGTGGGACTTGAGGAAATAGAGGGGTTACACTGTTGCCAAGACCTAGATCAGAGAGAGGTTTAAGGGAGTGGGTGTAACTTGGACCAGTTACTCTGCAAGTTAATCTCGCTCCCCTTGCCTAAAGAGGCACACTAGCAAATTGAGCTAGAGATTGTCTGTCTTTAGCATTCTTATAGAGTTCTGACCTGAATGAACGTGAGGTCTAGGGGGTTGAATGAACGCAGGGCAGTCAGTATGAGCTGTGCAAGTAAATCTCATTCCCATGGCCTCAAGGGGCACACTGATGCTAGAGGCACATGCTATTGCAACCACCTCCAATGGCAAACAAATCAGTTTGAAGCCAAGCTGACTACAGAACCAGGGGGTTACATAACTGCAGTCTTTAGCGCAGGGGTGTCCAAACTCGGTTCTGGAGGGCCAGTGTCCTGGAGAGATTAGCTCCAACCCTAATCAAACACACCCAGACAAGTTAATTAAGCTCTTACTAAATACACTAGAAACTTCCTTGTATTTGTCTTGAAGCAAGTTGGAGCTAACCCAGGAGGACACAAACCCTCCAGGATGGAGTTTGAACACCTCTGTTTTAGCATCTCTGTTATTGTGTTCGCCTCCCATACCAAAAATAAACATCTTGAAACTTACTCTGAACAGGGGTTTACAAGTTCTGACCTGGATGGAAGTGAGGTTCCGGAGGGTGAATGAATGCTGTGCAAGTAAATCTCATTCTCATGACCTCAAGGGGCACACTGATGCTAGAGGCGCATGCTATTGCAACTACCTCCAATGGCAAACTAAACAGTTTGAATCCAAACTGACCACAGAGCTGGCTACAAGAACCAAGGGGTTACATGCCTGCAGTCTTTAGCGCAGGGGTGTCCAAACTCGGTTCTGGAGGGCCAGTATCCTGGAGGGATTAGCTTCAACCCTAATCAAACAAACCTGGACCAGTTAATTAAGCTCTTACTAGATACACTAGAAACATTCTTGTATGTGTGTTGGAGCTAACGCAGGAGGACACTGACCCTCCAGAACCGAGTTTGAACAACTCTGTTTTAGCATCTCTGTTAGTGTGTCTGCCTACCATACCAGAAATAAATATCTTGAACCTTACTCTGAACAGGGCTTTACGAGTTCTGACTTGGATGGAAGTGAGGTTCAGGGAGTTGAATGAACGCAGGGCCGTCAGTATGAGCTGTGCTAGTAAATCTCATTCCCATGGCATCAAGGGGCACACTGATGCTGGAGGCACATGCTATTGCAACCACCTTCAATGGCAAACAAATCAGTTTGAAGCCAAGCTGACTACAGAGTTGGCTACAAGAACCAAGGGGTTACATGACTGCAGTCTTTAGCGTAGGGGTGTCCAAACTCGGTTCTGGAGGGCCGGTGTCCTGGAGAGATTAACTCCAACCCTAATCAAACACACCCGGACAAGTTAATTAAGCTCTACTAAATACACTAGAAACTTCCTTGTATTTGTCTTGAAGCAAGTTGGAGCTAACCCAGGAGGACACAAACCCTCCAGGATGGAGTTTGAACACCTCTGTTTTAGCATCTCTGTTATTGTGTTTGCCTCCCATACCAGAAATAAACATCTTGAAACTTACTCTGAACAGGGGTTTACAAGTTCTGACCTGGATGGAAGTGAGGTTCAGGAGGTTGAATGAATGCTGTGCAAGTAAACCTCATTCTCATGACCTCAAGAGGCAAACTGATGCTAGAGGCGCATGCTATTGCAACCACCTCCAATGGCAAACTAAACAGTTTGAATCCAAACTGACCACAGAGCTAGCTACAAGAACCAAGGGGTTACATGACTGCAGTCTTTAGCGCAGGGGTGTCCAAACTCGGTTCTGGAGGGCCAGTATCCTAGAGAGATTATGTAGCTCCAACCCTAATCAAACACACCTGGACAAGTTAATTAAGCTCTTACTAGATAAATTAGAAACTTCCTTGTTTTTGTCTTGAAGCAAGTTGGAGCTAACCCAGGAGGACACTGACCCACCAGGACCAAGTTTCAACACCTCTGTTGTAGCATCTCTGTTAGTGTGTCTGCCTCCCATCCCAGAAATAAATATCGTGAAACTTACTCTAAACAGGGGTTTACGAGTTCTGACCTGGATGGAAGTGAGGTTCAGGGGGTTGAATGAACGCAGAGCAGTCAGTATGATCTGTGCAAGTAAATCTCATTCCCATGGCCTCAAGGGGCACACAGATGCTAGAGGCGCATGCTATTGCAACCACCTCCAATGGCAAACAAAACAGTTTAAATCCAAGCTGACTACAGAACCAGGGGGTTACATGGGTGCCATGACTTGAATGGGAGTGAGGGTTGAAGGGGTGACTGCAATGGAGGCCAGCTAATACTGTAGGAGCTGTGCAAACAAATCTCTCTACCCTATCCTCAAGAGGCACAACATTAACAGATGATAAAGACCATGTTAGTGCCTCTGCCTCCCATTCCAAAAACAAGAACTTGAATCCTGCTGGAGGGCTATTACAATCGCAGGGGTTACATTGGTGCCATGACATGGATGGGAGTGAGGTTCATCAGGGTGATAGCAAACTAGAAGGACCTGTTT